CACCACCCGATGTCCTCAAGCTGTTGCTGAGGGATCAGTTTGTAGACGCCTTGGACAGTCCACAACTGAATATACAAGTAAAGCAAGCACACTCCTCTACTATGCAAGATGCAATGGCTAGAGCTCTTGAATTCGAATCCTACGTTAAGTCTACCAAGATTGGTACAGTCATCAGGATTCAAGGCCAAAAAAGGGCAGCTTTCAGAGAGGTTTTGAGGGACTTTGCTGGCACTGTAACAAACCTGGGAACAAAAGAGCTCAATGCCGGCAACTTCAACACAGGGAAGATGCCACGGCAGGAAAGGCTGCTACCCAGAAAGGTTATTGAGAACTGTGGAGAGCAAGGACATATGGGGAGCCAGTGTAAGAAGAATACTACCAATAAGTCAGCTTCGGGAACCAGTAGTAGTTGGTGTTGAGGGACGCCCACCAACCCCCATTGTGAAGGGGTCCCAACAGCTAAGTGTAAAATGGCAAGAACACATAGTGTCTACGTGATAGGAAAGCTGGATGGCCAAAAGTGCAACTTTGTCATAGATTCTGCATATCAGCAAACCCTTGTGAGTATCAAGGTGATGGATCACAAAGGAGTACCAGAAGCTGTACAGAAGCTCTGTGGTGTGACAGGACATTATGCAAGGTTGTGGGGACCAGTGTGGGTAACTATTGAGCTCATAGGCATAAAGGACAGACACAAAGTATACTTGGCTGACATTGAAGACCCATGCATATTAGGGTTGGACTACTTACTACCGAGGAAGTGGGTAGTTAATTTTGTTAAAATGACGTTTGGGAACAACAAAGACCATATTCTGGTAAGTGTCGCTGCATCTGTTGATTTGCATGTCACAGCACTTAAGTCAACTACAATACTCCCTATGTCAGAGAAGATAATTTAGGGTAGAATAAAAGAACATCCCCAAAGAATCCCGAAGCTTGTGGAAGCAGTGGAAGATCCATCCAGACCAGTGGATGTGAAGATTGGAAGGTCACTTGTGGCAGGTCATCAAGTAGTATCCATAACAATGGTTAATTTCTCTAAATGTGAGCAGACACTTAAGGAATGGGCATTGTTGGATGTATGCCAGGAGGTAAAGCCAGTCAATGTTAAGGCAAGAAATACGACCATAAAGAAAGGACATCCTCTCCCAAAACATTTAACTGACCTCTATAAGAAGTGTATAGTCCATTTGTCATCATCACA